AGTTTCCAGCTCCAAACCACGTGTATGACCAAGGGATAGTGTAACAACAGATCGTTTTATTACGGAAATCAACACGTATTTATATATATTTCCTGTACATTATTATAGCTTATTCAAGTGGACATACGTCTTCTGATTGGTCGTTTCAGGTAACCTCGGAAAGTGGAGCCATCTATCTGCGAATCATATTTGCCCACGTTAATCTGTTGTGATTGGTTGTTGAATCAAGCTTGCTCATATTTTCTCACGGCATATATTAGTGACCTAGACACTGATGTAGATTAATGTCTACCAATTGGCTAGCAGCCTGCTCTCACCACAATAGAAGTCATCAGTTCCGGTGACTCCCTCGCCGTTCGCCTGTTAGCCCATGGCCTATCATGTCTCATTCCTATACTGTAACTCCTGCCGATAGCTAATAACAATGACACTTCAATATTTAACTATAGAAAGTACTCTAGTTCCTAGACTAACATAATAATACTTAGTAATTATGCATGTTCCATACTCGAAATTAGATTGTCATTAAAATACTTAAAATGATTAAAATATTTATGCAGCAAATGTTCTCTTGGTTTACCACGCTTGTTTCCCTTATAACACTCAGTTATTAAGCCTAACGTATTCTTTGATAATACGAATTATGACACTGATTATACTTTTATCATATATAGATTGATTTACTTTGCGGCTCCCTGTAAGACTAACTACCCTTCTTCAGTATACATACACTGCACTATTGTTAACCAAATGCTAAAATTTTGTTGGTTCACTGTTAATATCTTTTTATAATATGTTTAGACAGGTTACTTTGCAATGTCAGATGTTTACTATATATAAGACTGTCATGATAATTTAGTACACTAAGTCCTGCCAACCGACCTTACCTTCAGTTCATACAACTTACATTGATCACTAACTATAGTGTTCTGCTGAATCTTGCTCCATTATTCACAAAACCTATTCTTTTTAATCTTAAAGGTCTTAACTTCTCATAAAGTAGTCTGTTCATTAAGACGCGTGCATACATATATAATATGTTGATAAAAATGTACGTGGAGACCTTTTGGAAGCACTCATGAAGAAAGTTAGGGAGATGGAATATGAGGTACGAACATGTCTGGTACCAAGCAATATATTTGCGGTAGCCATAATAATCATAGTCTCAGAACCTAACATCGTAAAAGAAGGGAGGGTGGTGCTGGCTGATCAGTAGATATGGTGGTGCTCACTAAGGTGAATCGCCCCATTCTGCAGGAACAGCAATATGCAATTTGACGGCTCGAGATATTTCTGAGGGCTAAGATCTTTATCTTGAAAAAGATAATAATGAACGCCTAGACAGATCATGCTTCTGCCTTTAAACATATACCATTCGCTCAGCCTATTTTTGAGATGCGACCATGTTGGCTCTGCACAGATTTATGGAGCATCCTATAAATTAACTTGCTATCCATTGTCGGATCTTTAAATACCACTTCACAATGTCTTATCCCATTCATTTTCTAATAACGTCTTTACTTGATCTTCATTATATTCCTTTGAACCTAACATTTTATAGCTCTTTATGAATTTGATTCGACTTATTCTATTCCTATTCTCTGTAGGGTACGATTGTGCACCAAATAGACAAGAAGGTATGAAATAAAAACAACCGACTGAGAATAACTGTATTAAATATGACATTTCAGTCGACAAGGATAGAATTAATTTTATTCTCTATTGGTGCGAACAGAAGTAACAATATATGTGGCGGAGGATTTTTTGAAAAAGCCTTGGATGGCTAGTTCACCATCGTCCTTTAGTTTTCCTTGCCTTCCTCAAATATGTGTCTTCAGTCAGATTTGGGACTCCATGGGCCCTCCTTTTGCTCAGGTTCGTATACGAAAACTGTATATTTATTTATCCCACTGCATAATAACTTTCCTTTCTTATTACGGAGTTCCTGAAATAATAGCTTTGGTCGCAGATGAACTCAATCTAGTTCATCAGTTTACGTTTAACTAGATCCCTGGTCTTCAGATTTATTTATGAGGAACAGTCGATAGGGTTACCCATGATTACAGCTGTATGAATTCGCTCAATACCTTTCCACATTGGCTTCTGATTTACAATTCAGTTCGCTAATGAAAGAAAAGGATGACAGCCTTGCATCAACCTTTTTGGTTGTTTGCTCTCTCTGGGACTCTAGTTGGGGAAGTGGCGACACTTGTGACCCTAAGTATAGGCACTTCGTCACCAGCACTTACCAAGTGTGGAAAAAGTAACATGAAGTTTGTTTCTTCACTTCGGGAGGAAACCTAGTTTATGTTTGACAAGGGATCCATGAGAATAATTACGAGCGATCTCATTACCCCGTGAAACCACTTATGTGGAAGATTCTGTCAGGTTGTGTTCGAAAGAAATGCCTGGTAATTCAGCTGAGACATTCTACAGTCGATAGACCAGGTGTTAAAATCGCCAACTGTGAGACGTGGCCACTTTGGTACCCATGAGTTTAATTTCTCCAGGAGGAATTATTAGCCATGCATTTGTAACTGCAACATGTTGCGATCAAATCGATGGTTCCCCCTCTAATTTCGCATGATATCAATTTGAAATTATATTCAAGTATTGGTTTGTAGGGATTAAGTTGATTGGTTACAGGATTTCATCATGAGTTGACATTGGTTAGAGAACCATACTATATATAACTAAAAATCTAACCAACCATTTTATAACAATTTGAAAACATTTTAATTGAAAAGGTTTCCCGTTTAACGGCTTGATAGTTCTTTATGCTAGCAGTAGATGAAAATCCGGAAGTAGGTTGTTTTCAGCTTTGAAAGATCTATAAATATCTCATAACCATCAAGTACAACTTATCATTATCAGTGATACGACGATACAATAGTGATTACAGCACACAGCACAATGTATTGCTCATAATCATATCAAGGTACACATACAACTTTCTTGCTTCGTTTATATACATGAGTAAAATTGATTAGACATATGGATACAATCAGTGAAAGTTCGATGGAAATGCGTGAAACAGAAAGGAAGTTAAAGTACATTCGGAAACAACATTAGTGTTAACAATACACGTGCTCAAAACGTCATCGGTAAACATTAATGTATAACACTATGTGAAATTATCAAAATAAATTTTATCCATAATGGAAATTTACTCTACCACAGTACTCAAGCTTTATCCTTATATCAATTACGGCACAGAGTTTTGTCTTCCAAGTCACTTATAACTGCATAATATCAGACAAGTAACAGTTACTAATTGAAGTGATAACAACTTCGATTTAAACAATGCTTCCACATTATGAAACACCCAGAGTGCTACCTTACTTCTTCAGAATCCTTAGGCAAAGTAATTGATAATATTTCACGCGACAGCATAGTTCATTCCTCTGAAAATTTACAACGATAGTTCAAAAGTGTTCTGAAATCCGTTCAGGATGCAATTCAAGGAAGCAATTGAATGACTACTACAATATGAAGCGAAGCAATCTGGCCGAGATCACTGAAAGCTCAAAACGAGGAGGTAAGCACTGACTAAGAACCATTCACGCACAACAGAACATATCATCAAGACACGGTGCTGAAACGGCCAGAGGACTTTACCGAATATACTTCAACTTAACATTTCCACTAAAAACGCTGGGTGTCACCACCTAATATCCATGTAGATGTGGAATATTAAGTCACTGGAATCATTCATGTCCATGCAGGATAAAAACAATGCTGCAGAGCAAATATTCCTGCCAGAAAGCCTAGGGTTTCTGTAAATTGTTCGTAAATCCCCTTTTCTGAGAAAGCAGTGTTCTTTATACACGTTGTGATTAAACATTTGCTATTGATCTGGCTACTGCGACAGTTTTGATTTCCTTTGGTGTAGTGAAACTCGTTTTCTCACCTACTAGTTTAGGTGAATGTTGAGTGATACTCAATAAGGTCAACTCTTACCTTGACAGTGTGTTACAAATTGAATTTGTCGACTATCACCACCTTCTTTTAGACATGCAATAATCATATCTCTATGGTTGGTGAGTTAGCCTGTTTTCATGACGTTATTATTACCACAGACATTATCTGCTTATTTACCTTGGAAATATTTTTGTGTAGAGTGAATTTTTCCTGGCACTACATAATGCAAACTCCAAGTCGTATCAAAAATATTATCTGAAATAATGGTTATTATTGGATACAAATACAAGGTGTAATATAATTGGATACAGACTCCCGAAATATACCACAAAATGAACAGAGATAATATCCTCACTAATGCACATCCACTTATGTTATGTAAAAAGTATTTTGTGTAGATTTAGACGACAAAACCAGGAAATCTTATGAACACAAGTTTGTTGCATTTTGGAAAGTGATAAACGCGGTCAGCACACTAGAGTATTTAAAGCAGTTCGATTACCTGATAAAATGAAGCCAGGCATTCACAAACAATACTTATAAATTAAACAGCCAATTTAGAGGGGAGTTACATTACTAGACTATTACTCATCATTGACTAAATTATTCAATTGACGGCTATGACTGGTTATCATATGCAACTTCTGTGTTGTTTGTCATATAACTTAACTGACTTTCACGAATAAAAACTGAATCCTATTGACTATTTCACATTTTATCATGAAAGTCATTCGATTTTATTTCATCCTAAAGTCGAAATTTCACCTAAGCAATCACGCAAGATTTTTCATTTACTGTGAGTGAAATTCAAAATGTAACAATATACAAGTAAACCAATAATCATTGTCTCAAGTGTCCCTTTAAAAAATATCCATCTCGTTGCGACCCTTAGATAATTTAAACCTGTACACAAAGGTTAATATTACTCCCTCCTCTGCTTACTCAGCAAGAGTTGAACCACCTCAGCTGACTTAGATGAAATATAGATGCGTCGCCTACACAATTAAGTATACCTAGAAAATCCTGTTCTAAGCATTTGGATGAACGAACTACGGACTTAAAACTCAAGACAACTTTATTTACAGAGGTGGGTTTGGAATTCTTTCATATACAATAATAAGAGTTTCACGTCCTTCTCTGCAGGCCTTGTGGGCTTCTTCTGTACAACCTTGTTCCAATAACTTTAGGATTGGGTCTGATTCTTTCATTTTCTCAAATACATCTGAGTCCTTAATAAAATAAGGACTGCTTTTAAATACATTTGAGTCAGCAGATAACTTCAATAGTTCACTTGAATTTTTCGTATCTTTGTCCTGAGGACGGAGATAAATAAGACAAACTGGACGAAAAAGAGGATGTGCGGATAAACAATCCATAATCCATTTGCCAAGGTCAGGAACGTCAGTAGCTGAATATATTTTACCACTAGGTTTCAAAAGATATGCATAAACATCCAGCAAGGTTGGAGAAATAATACGCCATTTATGCTTAACACGCTTGAAGTGGGGATCTGGATAGAGGAAGAATATTTTGTGCAATTGACCCTGGAAATCAAAACAAGAATACTGATGCAGTAAATTTATCAAACACTTTTGAAAATTGATAGAAGAAATTCTGTGGGAAATAATTAAACTATCAGAAGTATTAAAATTATAAATATTATCAGTAACAGTTTATGTATACGCTGGTGAAAGGTTTATCTATTTACTGAGTGGCAACTATTTTGTGTACCAAACAATTGAATTTATAACAGTTATATTCAAAACAGGCTGAACATGTTATTTTCTGCAATTCATGCTGCAAAAGATTGTCTAGTATCTGGGATTCAGTAAGATATATTAAGTTTTAATTAAAGTTACACACTTTTTAAATAGTAAATTAATAAAAAGCAGAATAAGGAAGACATACACACAGATAGATGAAGAGTACAAATCTAGACTAAGGTGAAAGTGATGCATACGAATGTGTAGTTACCTTTGGCTTTGATTTGTATGCAACAAGATCAATCACCTTCGATTTAACATACTACGAGTATCTCAGTATCTTCAGTAGACATATTTAACTGTAATGGTCTTTTACTCCCATAATCCATCAAATGTTATAAATCCAGTGTCTGTCACAATGTAGTTGGAGTTGCTTGGTTTAAGCGTTAAGCTAGTAATCATTTCAACCTAATTAACTAAGCGAAGCCCAATATGACTGGTTGGTTCCCAGAGTTCCATGATGCTAATTCTTTTCGGCCATATAATTATCACTATGAAGTCAGAGAAGGCAGCTGTTGAAAAATGACTGCAGTAGCCTGTTAGAAATGTCTTCAGTGACGCTCGTACCGACTTTCTTACCCATATAGAACATCGGTGTTGAAAATCTGAATCATGTAAACCTCTGCTAACTGTTTCATAGTCAAATTAGTCCGCTACTTCTGTTAGTATAAACTGTTGATTATCAGTTACATGACTCATACTCAATGTGCAATAAAACAAATATTTTCAAGTATTGGTTTTGTAGAGATTTTGTTTGATTGCATGGAGGATTTAATTAACTGATGTCAGCTCATAATTAAATCCTCCATGCAATAAAACAAATAGTCTACAATGTTCAATTTTAGCTAACCTTGCTAGGGTTTATTTTGGTGACTAGAAGTCTTAAGTGTTATCTGTCACCCTAAGAATCATTTAACTTTCTCAGTGCCTAGAGATAATGAAGGAAATATTCAAAACCTGGATATGAGGGACTGAATGTCAACTACCTCAAGTAACAAGTACATTCAGAAATTCAAGGTGGACATTGCAATGAAATAATCGCTTAAAAAAAAAATATCAACCTATCTGATTAGGCTTAATACACTAATTGAAATATATTGTTTACACCGGTATGCGAAAATGTAAACTGAACCAGCAACTATGAAAACTAAACACATTTGTTCACTACCTACTTGGTGAAAGAAATTGGGCAAAAACTTCATCGCATTTGTACGAATACAGGCTATATTGTTGTATTGACCAGGATGTTTCAGACGCAGAGCATTAAGTTTCTCCTGTTTATAAAAGAAAGATGCATTTAATTAGAAGTAGAATCATGAAACAGTTTTTTTAATGCAGAAATCTGCCACACAAAGAGTAGTGAAAAGGAATATTTCCAATCATATGGGACTAAAATAACTAGCGTGCAAAATGTACAACCAACAGTATCTGTTTTGTTCAAGTTAACGCAACACAACTAGTTCCGGACAATAGATGGCACTCAAAAAACTAACACTATATCTTCACAAAAAATACAAACAAAGAATTCCATAATTTTATTTGATAGAAACGCCGTCCTACAGTATAACTTACTGATGACGTTTCAAGTGAAATTTACTGCTCATACCAATCAAATCAAGGCACTAACATTATTTCCAAACTGTGTTTGTGTAATTTTATCATTTCTTATCCTTCGTTTTATTGTTAGTAATATCTTTCATACATCCGGCACTGCGTGACGTTATTCTTATCGCACGTATTAGGTGTAGGTGTAATGAACAAAGATTCAGTTACCGACTTCTCCAGCCACCTACCTATGTTATTTTTCAAAACTATGGATTCATCCCACCTTATGGTGTGCGTGTGTTAGTACATGCATTACGACTGCTGAGTTTTACTCTAAGTTACTCATCAACCTAGTATCGATAATTTAACACTACGCCAAGTTTCTATGCCCCAACAACTTGACTGATCCTGATCTACTGGTCTGACCTATATAGCTGACCCCTTAGCCATCGCTACATATTTTGTGAATGAAATTATTTTATCTAATTGAGTCCCTTAACCTGTAAGGCTTGCCCCTGATTGGATTTGTACATTTAAATGCCACCGATATAAGGACAGAACTTAACCAGTGTGGTAGAGAATAATCCCATCACATAGAGTAAATTTATTCGGTAAAATCACACAGTGATGAAGTATTATCAGTAAATAATTCACATGTTACTTGAAAAGCTAATTGAATTAGTTAGCCATAAAAGGCATTCAAATATTTGCATAACAGGCAGTTAAATATACGTCAATAGGATATAGGTAGTATGATAAGAAAAAGAGGTATTCGATATTTTAAGTCAAGATTAGCAAAAGCTATATATTCAGTTTTGACTCAAAGGTTAAACACGAATATTTGTGGACTGTGGGACTTATTAGGTTCTAAGTAAGAAAACAGGGCTTCAACAGGACATATTTACTTTGTCCTGTTCCCTGCAGTTCTCTTTAGCTGGCTCCGCGATTCCAATGAGAATATCATCTCCTCTTTACACGGTTTCCTTCATGTCATCATTCACCCACGCCCAATTCATCGTCTTCACTTCGGATTCCACTCGACCAATGGTCTGGTGCGCCATATCACTCAACAGTCTCCTAATCGTGTGTTAAATCAGTCCCCATTTCCTCCGACACGTATGTTGAGAAATAGGTTCTTCATTGATTCATTCCCAGAGTTTCTTGTTACTTCCTGACAGGCCATCTGATCTTCAGTGTGGAGCCAGAGAAGGCAGCTGTTGATAAAAGTCTACATTGACCTGTTCAAAATGCTTTCCATGACGCGCATTGCAAGTTTCTCACCCAAATAGAAGAACTGACTGAATGACGTAACAGTAGTGCTGAAAATCTAAAGCTTGGTCTTTGCGTTAAGTACAACATATTTCAAAAACTGATTTCAAATTAATAAAGGCGAGTCTTGCCTTTTAAATCCTAGCTAGCTTTAGCATCTTCATCCCTGCCGCCTGTAGTCGAAACGATTCTGCCTAGATAAGTGTAATGATCTTCTTCAAATTTCTTGCGCTGATAGTGATTGGTGCTTGTTGTTGTCGGTTAGGTATCTTTATCACCCGTATCTTCTCTACGTTCACTTAAAGTCCTGTCTTCGCTGCTTATTCCGTCAACCTGCTGACTTTTCCATGCAGACCTCTCCGTTTCTGAGACACTAAACATAAATCGCTTGCGAAGTCCATATCTCTTAATCTTCCCATAGGTACAATGTATTTCTATCTTCTCGCACCCAGTGGTTTCCAAATGATTCAGCCCACCACAATCACGAATAACATCGGTGAAAATCGGCAGCCTTGTCTTACTCCTGTCTTCACTTCAGACGCCCCGTTGAGTTTCCCATCATGGAGAACATGACACATGGCAGTCACAGCTGTTGAATGATGTTGATAAAAGTTGGGGCACTACACTCTGTAGTGTTGAAGTAGTTTCCAAATTACTTCGCAGTCAACGCTGGTGAGGGCTATCTCAAAGTCGAAGAAATTGAGGTAGGGATTTGACTGATATTTTATGCTCTGTTAGATGATGAACTGACTTCCCGAAGGCTTTTAACAAACCGTGTCATTCCGTCTCTCTGGTTCCAGAGAAAAATACGTTTATTTTCTATATTTTTGTTGTGCTTTGAAGTCTGTGTAGAGAATTGGTTTATTTTCCCGGGTGGGTTCGCTAGCCCCTTCCCGCTTTTCCAAGGCTTAAAACCGGCTAGTAGACTAGGAGAGATTTTTAGCATATAGGACAAATGAAAATTTTTTTGGTTAGCATGAAGTATTCTTTTTATTTTGTGGAATAGTACTCTACAGTGGTAGAATCTATAACAGAGGATTTTAGCAACTAGCAGACTTCTTAACACAGTCCTAACTGACTGATTATCTTAGCCAGTGGAGCTATGAAGCATTTTTAACTGATAACCTTATAGTATACAAAAATGTTCATGAAAGATTCCCTTCAGATTGTAGTCCATACAGGAAACAACTCCAAAGTCCATCCACTTGCAATATTGGAAAAATTCTTACTAGGCAAAATATAGGATAGTCTGAAAATACTGAGGAGCAAGGCAGAGTTCATAAGTGATCACGGTAGATTTTATCTAATCATCAATCAAAAAAATAATAAGTATGCGGATTTTTTCCTAGTACTTTGGTTGTGTAACCAGACGAAACTTTGTCGTTATTAAGACATGAAGTCGGACTGTTTCTCATTTATACTGAGGAGCTTAAAGCAACTAACAGTCACTGAGATATCCAAATGTTTGCCTTATACTACGAAGGGTATCAGTAAATCAAAAGCTACAGTCTAATCAATAATACAACAACAAAGTAGATATTATTATTAGTAGTAGTATTTATTCGATAAACAGTAAGTTATGCAACTTACCTGAACAAAGTCACAGACTTTCAAGCGTATTTCTAATCCAACACTCCGCGTACATGGATAGGAGGTAGATAAATTAAACAAAAGTCCACCATATCCACAACCTACATCCAAAAAACGTACGAGTGGATCAAAAGAACCAGTATTCACTAGCGACACAGAATTTCGACGATCTCCAAATAACGTTTCCCAATCCATTAATTCTGGTTTCAAAGGATAATCAAGTGTATGATCTGACCAAGGATTACAGTGAGCTCGTTGACGATAGTGACGTTTTGAAGGTAAGCGAATATTTTCATCATTAACATCTTTTTTGCTGCTATCAATATGATCTATAACAGCTGTACATTCAGACATCTACAAGGGTATGAAAAACTCAGAAAAAACATTTTGAAAATGAAAATCATGAGGAAGAATATGTATTTCTTAATTAACATCTTTTTTTCGGAAATTACTCATGTACAAAATCCTCGACAAAATTCACTGACGAACTAATAATACTTAAAAATTAAAGTACGAATGGATTGTCCATATGTAGGAGAAATAATTTGTAGAAAGTGAAAGCCCAACAGTTTACAAAATTAAAAATTACCGAAAGACTTCAAGGTACAATATCGAAAGGATAAAAGTAAATTTACCTCACTATCCATGCAAATACAATAAAACATATTATGATAGTTACAAAAACCTTAATAAGAAATCCTCTTTGTGCAGAAATTCGTCGCATAAACACCAGTAACTGTGCATGCGCCTCACTAATATTCATTTCCATATCATCAGTTTGACTGTCTATTCGTAATACCAAATCACCCTGTTCTTGAACTAAACTAGAGAATTGCTGATAAATTTCCCCAAGTTGAACGATAGTTGATTCTACTCGTCGAATTGCAGCATCACGCTGACGAACTTCTTGGTCGATAAGCGAAACATGAGGATTACTTGCAAATAACTGAAGTTGTTCGGTTGCCTGGTTAGTAGCTCCCACCTTATCAAGAAATTGTAAAAAGTAATGATATATTTATGTGAAGTATATCTTTTTAGAACCATCTCACCAACGACAGAGCAGGTAAGAAAAATATCATGATCACTAAAAGATGTGCAAAAAATGAGGAAACGAAAATGAAACCTAAATACTGTGACAGAGTGCAATGCCATAATAAACAAGCTTATTTGGTATAACAGTGGTACAGAGTGCTATTAACTGGATGAGATCTTTACAGAACATTTTATTGGTCATAATTTCATTCATAATTGTATGGCTTTTTCAACTATTTTTTTTACTGCCTTCCCCACTTTTTTCAATTTCGGTAATAGGAAAATCTTTAATATATCAAGGATGAATTTTGTGCAACTCCGGTTGCACGTCTTAAGTTCATGAATGACCTTCTTCTCCAACTACTTTTGTGATAGTACTCCTGTGTCCTATCCCTATATTTCACTATGTTGACGCATTCATAGGAATCTTTGAATTATTTTACATTAGGTCCAATTCATTCCATGACAACTTTTTTTAACTAACGTATTCGACTTCATAAACACTTTATGGCATTTTATAAGTTAGATTATTATGTTCAGTCAGTATTTGGCAATAGTGTACACCAACAATTAATTTTATATAAAAGTGTGCAGAAATGTTGAGAAAGAAGTGAAGATAATACATCCAAACATTGAAAAGTACTTTTTCTGGAAACGCCAAATGACATTTTCCCAGTGGATATATCTAATTATTTTCATAATTAATCCGATGTTTCCTTGTCAAAAGAATAGGCAGAAATTCTGTCACTGGGTTTCAACTTCTGTGTTCCCATGAAAAAGATAAAGCAAATTGATATCGAATGCCAATTTGAAAATCTTTATGACCAACTTATGGGATTACAATAACAGAGAAAACTGGTTGAAATCAAAGACGGTTGACATTGTTCACCAATTTCGAATCATGCCGGTCACTCAAAAGTAGCATATCACCAAAGAACACTGGAGATCTCTAAACAAGCTCCGAAAAGACAATAATCTTGTTACTTTACAAGCTGATAAAGGACAAAGTGTAGTACTAATGAACAAGACAGATCATATTGAGAAAATGCATTAAATTCTCTCTGACGAATCTAAATTCAAATTGGATAATCATGCAAAAGACAAAAAGTTATCGACCGAGAGGAAAGTTGTGCAGCATTTACGACAACTCTTCAAAAACAAATACAGTGATGAAAATACATATAAGATTATCAAACCGATTGGGCCACAAATCCCAAAATTATACGGACGCGTACAAATACGCAAACCGGGAGCGCCGTTAAGAACTATACTCTCAATAATAAATTCACTATACCACAAATTAGCACAGTGGCTATGTGAATTGTGACGGTCCTTGCGAAAACGTCTACAGTTTCCGATTCATTTCAGTTTGTCAAGCAAATTAAAGATTTCAATGTATCTGATAAGCATCTGGTCTCTTTCGATATTACCTCCCTCTTCACAAATGTGCCAGTCGTTGAGACTAATGACTTTATATATAGAGAAGCTGAAGACATACCCATTCCAACATCGGAATTGAGGAAATTGTTACTTTTATGTACTAAAAATGTCCAATTTCAATTCGACGGGCGTCTATTCCGCCAAGTTGATAGTGTCGCAATGGAAAGCCCTTTGGGACCACTTTTTGCAGACTTATTCTTGTCAGTCCCAGAATCGGATACTTTGCAGCAACACATACAAGGAACGAATGTATACCCAAAATATGTTGATGACATTTTTATTGTCTGTGGGAGCAGATCAAAAGCTGAAGACATGTTGATAAAGTTCAACTCATGCCACTCGAATCTCAATTTCACAATAGAACACGAGGAAAATGATACTATTAAACTCCTACATGTTTTTCTAGTGACAATGAATGATGGCACAATCGAAAGATTCAGAAAGTTTTCATGGACAGTACACGCATTTCAAGAGCTTTGTTCCAATCCAGTATTATTATTATTATTATTGTATCCTTTAGTTCCTAGAGGAACATAGGGCTTCAGCTGCGCACCTCCATTGACTTCGGTTTTCTGACAACTTTTTCACCCTGCTCCAGGTCTGTCCACATGCTTTCATCTCCTCCTCGCATGACCTCCTCCAAGTCACCCTTGGACGACCAACTCGCCGCCTCCCTTTCGGGTTCCACTCGAGGGCTTGTCTAGTGATGTCACTTGATGGTTTCCTCAGCGTATGGCCAATCCATCTCCATTTCTTTCTGCCTATTTGTTTCACAATCGGTTCCTGATTGGTTCGCTCCCAGAGATCCCTGTTGCTGATCTTTTCTGGCCATCTGATCTTGAGTATTGAGCGGAGACAGTTGTTAATGAAGGTTTGAAGTTTGTTTGAGATGCTCTTTATGACTCGCCAAGTCTCTGATCCGTATAGTAGCACTGACTTCACATTGGAGTTGAAAATCCGGATCTTATTTTTGATGCTGATTGCTGTTGACCTCCACACAGATTTGAGAGTAATGAAAGCTTGTCTTGCTTTTCCGATTCTGGCTTTGATGTCCTCGTCAGTTCCGCCTGTAGTTGAGACGATGCTTCCCAGGTAGGTGAAGGAGGTTGTTTCTTTCAGGTTCTTCCCATTTATGCTTATTGTGGTCTGTTGGTGTTGTTGATGTTGGCTAGGAATCTTCATCATCTCTGTTTTATCTATGTTCACGTGAAGTCCTATCTTTGATGCTTCTTCTGCCAACTTGTTACTTTTCACTTGCATATCTTCCAGTTTATGGGAAATCAGACATATATCATCGGCGAAATCCAGATCCTCCAAGTCTTTTGTGTCAGTCCATTTTATGCCTGTTCCCTCGTTGGTTGCCGTTGTCTGTCGCATTATCCAATCAATTGCAATCAGGAAGATCATTGGTGATAGTAGACAGCCTTGCCTCACTCCCGTCCTCACTTCGAAGGCTTCCGTAAGTTTCCCGTTGTGGATTACTTGGCATGCAGCATTGTCGTATAACTGTTGGATGAGGTGTATAATTGTCGATGGGACCCCGTAGTAGCGAAGTAGTTTCCAAATGACCTCTCGATCGACGCTGTCGAAGGCCTTTTCAAAGTCGATGAAGTTGAGATAGAGAGGTGACTGCCATTCCAAGCTTTGTTCAATGATGATCCGTAGAGTGGCGATTTGATCAATACATGATTTGTTTCTCCTGAATCCAGCCTGTTCCGGACGAAGTTTTTCATCTAGGGCTTGTTTGATTCTCTCCAGGATGATGCGACTTAGTATCTTGCTTGGAATGGACAGAAGCATAATTCCACGCCAGTTTTTACATTGACTTAAGTCTCCTTTCTTTGGAAGTTTGAATAAGTAACTGTTCTTCCAATCCTCGGGTACTTTGCCCTCTTTCCACACCTTCTCCAGTAGTGGTGTCATCAAGTCCGCTGTTGTCTCTGGGTCTATTTTCAAAGCCTCTGCTGGGATTCCATCTGGTCCCGGTGTTTTCCCAGCTTTAAGCATCTTGATTGCATTCAGGACTTCTGATTTCGTCGGGGGGTCAGTGTTCACTGGTAGTTCTGCTTCCGTTGTTGGTATTGCTGGACGTGTTGTAGGTGGCGGACGATTTAGAAGTCTTTTGAAGTGTTCAACCCAGTGCTTTCTCTGTTCCACCTCTTTGGTGATTGACTTTCCATTGTCGTCCTTTATTGGCTTAATCTGTGTCGAACGTTTGCCCGAAAGGTTCCTAGTTGTTTGGTAGAGTGTGGCGAGGTCTCCTTTGCCTGCAGCTTGTTCTGCTTCGTTTGCCATGGTTTCATAATATTTTCTTTTGTCTTCCCTGGCACTTTTCTTCACTCTTTTGTTCAGTGTATTGTAGCTTGCATTCAGCTCCTGTTTTTGTTGCTCGTCGTGCACTGGATAATCTTTTGCTTCACTGTCCTTCTCTCTTCTATTAGTTTCCAAGTGTCCGTAGTGAGCCACTGTTTGTCCTGTCTCTTTTTTCTGCCTAGAATTTCTATGCAGGTTTGGCTCCACACCGTTTTCAAGTTGTTCCAGTGCTTTTCAACGCCGACCTCTTCGCTAGTGTTGATTTGTGTCTCGGCTTTGTCCTTTATGCTTGCAATGAAGATGTCCTTTGTAGCCTGGTCCTTCAGCTTTTGAGTGTTGAACTTGGCTTGTGGTCTATCTGCAGCTCCTCCTTCCCTGAAAGCTTTTAATTTGATTTGGATTGTCCCTTGTACGAGATAGTGGTCTGAGCCAACGTCTGCTCCTCTTCTTGCTTTTGTGTCCAGTAGGCTGCGCCTCCACTTCCTTGAGATTGAGATGAAGTCGATTTGGTTTTTGGTTTGCCCGTCTGGTGACACCCATGTAGCCTTGTGGATATCTTTGTGCTTGTATACACTGCCACCAATCACCAGTTCGTTGAAGGCGCAGAAGTCGGCGAAGAGTTCTCCGTTTTCATTCATTTCTCCTAGAGCTTCTCTACCCATGATGAGTTCCCTTCCCGTATTGTCTGGTCCCAGTTTGGCGTTCATGTCTCCCATTAGTATTTTCATGTCGCCAGCTGGAGTATTGTCCATTGTTGCCTGTAGTTGCCTGTAGAATTCTTCTTTCTTCTCGAGGTCTGCGTTGTTTGTGGGTGCATAACATTGTATGATTGACACTTTCCTTCCTTTGGAGTTGAACCTGGCGGTCATTATCCTGGACGAAATCGCCTCCCATTGTATCAGGGCTTTCGTTGCCGTTGGTGACATCATGATAGCCACGCCCTCGGTGTGCGTGTGGTTATCTTCTGGGTGACCGGAGTAGATCACTGACTCACCTGTTGACAATTTGGTGAGTCCACTCCCATTCCATCTGCTCTCACATATTCCCAGCACTTGTATTCCGTATCTTTTCATCTCGTTGGCGATCTGGGCAGCTTTTCCAGTCTCGTACATAGTTCGGACGTTCCATGTTCCTACACAGACTTTTTCTTTTGGTGCAAGGAGGTTCAACATACTGAAGTTTCTGTAGCAATTTTTGTTTACAGGGTGGGGTTGCTAGCCTCACGCCTGAGAAAAGAATGATTACATTAAGTAAAAGTTTAGAGAGAAGCAACTTTTTGGGTTGCTCCCCTCAAAATCAGAAAATAACGGACAAACAATGAGAACAACATCAACAAAGGAAACAGTTCACAGAAAAAAGGGCAAAAAGCGACGACAACTATACAATAAGACAACATGCAATATAGTTCAGTATTGTTAACTAAAATGATATCTTAACCATAAACTCACTGACTTGGAGCAACTTGAACATATAAATCCAACAATATATACAATTATAGATGTGTTTATGTTTAAAAATTCCACAAATCCAAACAGTGGGTTATGTGTATTATCTGTCAATAAGATTGTATTTTTTGGATTCAGTGTTCGAAAGGTTAATAATTGTGATAATTTCCGCAAACTCTTTGCATAAAATTTTAGAGTAATAAGAGATTTTATTTATGAGCAAAATGTAGCGTAATAGTCGAAAAGCGGTATAAAAAGAACTTATTCAGAACACTATTCAATAGAGCACGAAAAATTTGTTCTGACGGTACTATTGAGCATGAAATAAAATCTCTGAAGGATATTTTATCTATGAAAGGATATCCTGAGAAGTTCATTAATAAATACTCTAAAGAAATTAGCCCCTGCAAAACAATCCAAACAGCGGCGAAGAAATCTGTCTATATCACTTTACCATTCAAAGGAGATGATGTACAGCAAGTAGTCAAACGAAGACTCGACAAAGCAATCAAGAGAACTTATTATGCTGCAAAACTTGTTATCCTTAACACCACCAAGCGAGTGCTTCAACAATCTGGGAAAGACCAGTCGCCAATCCTCGACACTTCAAACTGCATATATCAATTTGAGTGTGTTTGTGGAAGCAAATACATAGGTCGTACAGAAAGGTGATTGTCTACTCGCATGATGGAACATTTGCCAAAATAGTTGAAAATAGCTGAATGCAAAGTGCCAAAAACCTCAATAACATAACATCTTGAGGATTATGGACATGATATCGACGCTGTCACGTCATTTACTATTGTCAGCGGACAAAGAAACAGGAAGATACTTGCAATTGCAGAGGCTTGTGCAATTCGAGTTTATAAACCAGGTCTCTGTGTACAAAAGAAGATGTTCGTCACACTGAATCTACCATGGTAATACGCTTCACTTATTATTCTACCTATTATTATTTTTATTATTCTTGATTCATTTAAACTAATCAATAGCATTATCTTAATTCAATTCAACATTATTATTGTTATTATAACTATTACTACTGATATTACTGTTTGCAATTCTTGCTATATTCTCTAGTGACTAATTGTTTATCCAAGTGACGTAAGTGAAGCGTTATGCATTTTACCTTAATTTGATCTCTCATACCCTCTCTTCCCCTATCTATTTGAACATGACCTGGAAAACATTCGCACCTGCCTTTCTGCATGACTAATTCAATGTAGTTTGTTTACTTATCAGTCTTATATCTCCCAATGTAATTTCGAAAGTATATATATATCCGTGTATGTAGGGTATTCAGCTGACGAGTTCAACCGAAATTTGATGAATTCACTAAATCCTGCTTTATTAACCTTTGTTGCTTGTTTTATCACTACAGATGCAATTTTACTATTAACTACCCCCATAACTTTAAATACTAATAATAGAACAATATGCTGAAAGTCATCGGCTAGATATCGAAATTATTTGTATTTTTATATTACAATCCAAAATACTAATGTCATAGTAACACACTGAATAAATCGTAAGAGGCAATTTAAGTTTATGTTTTTTCGGTGAGATCAAGTTAAGCCCAAACCTAGTTGCATACTAGTGAGGAAAAAATGATAAAATAGAAAGTGGACAGAATTTTTAATCTTATACCTTCTACTCCTTTGATAAACGTGAACAACACAATAAGGAAAGCTTTTGCAGAATGAGCTGTGAATTGCCTTTATTTCGTGAGTTGAATGAATCAACGCAGAGCTTTGCACAAAGGCGCATCTGTTTAAGTTGCCATATTTCACATAAACGAACGAAGTTAGAGGAAAGAAATGAAATAAAAAATCATAACAAACGAATATGTGTGGAGGAAAGAATAATTATGTGAAGAATAATAGGGATTAAATGGGTCTGGTAGACCACAAGGGGTCAGTAAAACTGATTTTAAGTCATGTCATTAAGTCTACAAACTGGTTCTCAGAATCCCTAGGATCACAATAAGATGGTTTACACCTGCCTATGTGGCTTTAAGGAATAATGATGTGTTTTCCTCTGACCATGATTAATTTAATCCTATATTAGGCAACACTGGTCATCGATGAAGGTGGTAGCTTTCCACCCTCAGTTTGATATATCATATATCTATTCCAGATGACTGAAATGGCTACCTAAAGTTATGACAACTGTTGGTTTGTTGTGAAACCTAAACAACCCAACAAAGTGGACTAAACAATACTTAAAATATTTATACAACATTCATTAAGGTATCAACCGTATACCTTCTTGATATTCAATCCAACAGAGCTACAAGAAAAATGAGGAAACTTAGATTTACATGTGTCTGTGCAAATACTAAAGAACTCTATAAATCCCATGTAGTGATTACGTGCAATCGGAAAACAGAAAGATGTGAAGAAACAGAGGAAATGTCACCTATCAGTAATGCTTAACATCCTAAAGTTTTCAGCTCCACAACCTCAATCTACTGATATATATATATATATATATACTTTTAAGATATGAATAACCAACTTACGCGAGATGGGTCATAAAAATCAGGTCTGCTGTTCATTGAAGAACTATTTAATTCCAGAACAGGTATTGCTGATGACAGATTTGATGCTGAATGTGAATTAGCTGTATGTGTTGGCAATGACAAGGTATGAGAAGGTGGACTACCAGGAAAGTGGTTGAGTTTTTGAGGCCGATTGTCTTCTGTAGGACGATACGATATATTTTGGAAAGAGCTTGGGAAATGATTTTTATCAGATGTAATTATTTCTGAATACGATGTACATTTAGTTAACTGATTTACATCAGGATTCGTGGGAATGTTTGTGTTTGACATTTTGGAGTCTGTCGAAAGAAAACTTTTGTGTTCCTCTAACAAAAGGCGAAATTCGGAAACCAGGAATGACAAATGATATTCTAAACTGATAACGATGAGATCGATGTGCTTTAAGTGTTGCGTATTAGTGACAGAGTGTTCTTTAACTCTAACGATGCTAGCTTTTAGTTCAAGCTTGGCTTTATTTAAATCTATTATATCAAGTTGGATAACTTCAATTAATTTGCTGAGAACATCTGGAGATGAATTGGATCTACCTTGTAATAAAATTTTTAATTTAGCCATTTTAGAAACAGTCATTTTAAGATCCCCCGACATTTGCTTTGATCTAGTTAAGAGTTCGGTAGTAATACTGTTTTCAGTCACGCTTGAATTTTTGGGATGAGGAGGTTTCAAGCGTAACCGACCAGAGAGAAGGCGATCATGAAACGACTGAGTACACGCACGAAATTCCCCAGTTCTGTCAAAAGCCCCAGACATCGTCCTAAAATGCAAACAACTGTGATTATAGCAATGTATTGACCATAAAAGAACAGTTACTTGTAATACAAACTAATTATGTGAAGGTTAAAAGTAATGAATCGATCAAAAAAATGGTTGCCCGTATCTAACAGTATCATAAAACATGTACGCTTTGTAGATTTATTCTCATAATCATTTTAAACTTAATGAAAAGCAAAAGCAATAATGAATACAAGAGATACGTTTCCCATTTTTATCTAACAATTTGCGCTAAACCTCATTGTTACTCACTGTATTATACGACTTAATACACGAGAGAATGCAAGGACGTATAATCAAAGGCAGTTAGCTCCTTCAAGTTTTCTACTTTCAACCCCCACACCTAACTGTCATAATGAAAGACTGAGAGAACTTCTGTCCGGCAAGTACGTAGCTTAGCAAATACCAGACAAACCTCTTGTATGCATGCTGAGATTTCATCAACAATCAGATCAAATAGGTGAAGTGGTTAATGCGCCATACCACTTCACTGGCTATATATAATTCCCGAGTGCATGCAACTGAGTCCTGCGACATCATTTTACACTCGACAGGGGAGAATCGCACGCCGAATACCCTGATTTCCGCGTAAGGTGTTTGGAAGACTCCACACTTCGTCAGGAGGACGATGTCATCCGCATATTCTAGCTCGGTGAGACTCCCCTGGTACAAAAGCCCATTGCACTCAATTCTACACGTATATCTATGATGAAATTAAATAAAGACGGAAATAATAGGCATCCCTGGTGGACAATACTGGTTGTTGCCACTTCAGATTATCTCCACACGTACAGTGAACGCTTAGGTTAGTGCAATATACATTCTCAGAACTACCCTCACGGCCAGATATTGCCACGAAATTTATCCGTTGACCCAGTCAAATGCTGCGTTCAGGTCAAGAAATATGGTATTTATTAGATTCCGGTATTTATACGTACGTTCCAGAACTAATTGAAAGACTGCCTGGTTCTCACGGGTTTGCTCTTTAGGAGTATCCTTTAGTCTGAAAAGGGTCATGGGCTGTGTCAGCCAAATTAACCACTATATAATTATTAAAGGAGGATTTGTCTACTTTCTTAAAAACAGGAATAATCAATGATTTACACCATTTCAATGGGATCAGCACGGATTCCCAAGCATACTTAATATCTTATTTAACCCAGTTAATAATTCATCACAATCTCTAAACAACTCTGGATTCCTGCCACTAAGTTCCACTGCTTTGCATCGTTTTAGATCAGAGAGATATTATGTCCTCAGTTACAGTTGGAGAATCGATGTTTTAGTGCTAGATTCTGAAAAAATTTAGGATGCTGTAGGCAAGTTGGAGTGCTTCTTAAAAATGTTCCTTTAAACATTGTAATATACTATCCTATTAGGTAATGAAAGTACCGTTCTTCTAAGTGATTGTTTCGCTTATCATTGCTTTTCTACATCCTGTTTGCCTAGTGAACCTCAACAGTTGTTTGCCGGATGTCAGAAGCAAATGAAATACAACACTTCAAATACAAAGTCCTACACGAAGCGGAATTATGAAGCGGCATATTCATGTACTCATCATTTTTCAGTAGTTAGCTTGTTTGCATTTGTGAAAACGAATTGTTTAAGACGAAGTTAGGTAGTCTTCTCTTGAAGTTTGATGAATCTTTACACCATCAAGATAAATTGAAAAAAAGTCGGGTTTGGAAATACACTGTTAAAAATAAGTTCCACGGTAGAAGGCCTGATGTTGTAGCGGATTTCAGCTGGTATTTAATTGTCTGGTTAAATAATATGGAATGAATACTAGCTTACACACATCACCGACTGTTCTTAACAAGATGAAGAAAGTTTCCTACCAATAGGGAGAGATCTCAAATAAAATAAAAACTTAACAATTTAAAGTGATGCGGAGATGAGGTTAACATAATTCGAAAAATCGCTTTGAATAATCATCATTATTCTATACCATGCAAAGGTTAACACTGACAATATAGCGCAGCTTGCTTCAACAGCTAGTTGTCCCTAGACAAAATCAATTTCTTTAATCGACATTAGGAAACTGACCAGTGAAGAAATCTCACTACAAAAAGCCACACTTTAGTGATGCAACAGGGAGAGTCACCGTCGCAATGAGCGACATTGGTATAAGAAGTAGGTTGTTTAATACGTAAAGAAAACCACTCAGTGAGTTTACAAATTCGCATCTGGATCAACAGTTTAATTATGTGGGGGCAAAACTAAGTTAATTTTGACCACACCTAAGGAGAGATGCTTAATGTTTTACTCTGACTTCATTTTTGTAGTGTAGTATGGTCTACAGAAAAGCAGTTATTGAGATTTCAGACGGCTTATTGTGATAACCTAAAATCGATCATGACTATCTTCGTCTTTATTCATAAAAATTTCAGAAACATTTCCATCACCTCCCTCGACGGGTAATGTTAGCTGACATAGGGTCAGGCTGGAAAAGAGCTAGCGGCGGTCAAACCCAAACATGCCACCATTCAATGAAATCCACAACGGTTAGTTTAAGCCAGCTACGTAGGAAGCTGTAAACTTCCTGGTTGAGGTGCTCGAGACGGTGAGAACCAGTGGCTGGAAAAAATCGATGATATGATTCAAAATCGTTTTCAATGGCTGGCGCAGATGCATCCACTCCTTGTGACCTATAATTTTCAATGAAACTATATTGTTCTTCATAACTACTATTCCTTTGTGTCGTATCGCTGTCTACTGTCTCTATTATGCATTTCTTATACTTTCTTCTCTTGCTTTGTATGCTAAGTGAAGTGTGGCGACTTGAAGTGCTGCATAACGGTGCAAAGTTCTATGTCAAAACCAGTCAGTCAGCTAGTGAAAACATTATATTAATGCATATCATAATGTGCAATAAGCATGGGGCCTCAAAAGAATCGTGACGAGTTGAAGACATGGAGAAAATCAAAAAGGTGTGTCGCATTTTCACACAATCGTCAAGAGAAGATGAAGATATGGAATCAAAATATGCAGAAAACATGTGTTTGCAATGATGGAAACTTGTACACATTTTTAAATGACTTTAAAGAAAACTTCTCTGGCAATCTAGTCTTTGGTTACTTGGACATATTTTGGTTGACATAAGAACGTGATCTGTGCATGACACGGTAGTTGCACATGAAGTCTTACTTTTTTGTAGAATTGGTTAATTAATGCATAAGTCAAACCGTACTACAGTCAATTTCGGAAGACAGAAATAAGAAATTTGTCACCAGAACGAAGCAGAAAAGCTCGCGAGGAAATGCAATGTTTTCACTCTGAAAATCCCTAAAACCTTTCAAGACTCCAATTATTTACTTGGGGTATTCAGGTGCAGTGCAGATAGTCTCACAACTTGAGGGGAGTTATGACTGCCTTCATGGTGCTCCGTAATTTTTTGTTACTTTCTCAGCTCGACATTCTCACATTAAGTTAGACATTTGCTAGCTTGGGGGCCAGAGGTATAACTTCAGCAGATATATTAACCAAGTTAATAAGTATTCACAAATAAATCTCCAACATAAGTAACTTTATTTGCTGCACACTTACTGATCAAACAAAGTTTAACTGACAATTCACCACGTATCTGAGAAATACAGAATCCACTATCAACGGGACAACTTGCCTTGTTGGCTACCCAACCTTGAAGTGTTGAAAATCCCTCTTGCACGTTTTATTGTCCAATATCAAAGTCTTTCAGAGATTTGTTTGTGACAGAAGGCTTCCGGGCGGGTAAAACTTTTTTAGGAATATCTACATGTCTGATCTGTTGATGAAGAAGTTGATTGGGGGTTCATAGACCGATTCTTCTGAAAGTCACCTCTGAGGTTATATCAACCAGTATTCCACATATATGTAGCGCCTCCTTGGATTTGCGCCTTATGGCGGAATTCACACCGAGATTAAAGAGGCTTCCCAGTGTTTTACCAACCATGATAAGATCAGTTTACAGTCATAATAACTGTAATCTGCTCTATTCAAAAAAGACTACGACAATTCGATAAAATTCAAACTGTAGAGTATTTTTTCGCTGCATGCAGCCAACCACGAACACCTATTCGGCTGTGACAACGTTCAAATATTAGACAAACAAAACATCAAGAATGGTAGAGAATTTTTAAAATCCTAATATTCCAGTTAATTGTTAACCAATAGACACGTTGACAAAGTTAAAATTTACCAATCGACAAGAAGCAAATCCCACACGCAGAGCGTCACACTTGAGGTCAAGGAAACAATCCCTGCCAATATAAGTAGCCTTTAGGGTTTGAAACACCAAAATAACCGATCACGTTGAAGGTCACCAGGAGAGATGACTAATAAACTCGCGGGGAAATATAAAAGCTGACTCCAAGTTAAAGTATATGCTAGAGATGTTGCCAAGTAGGGTAATAAAAGCTTCGAAAATAAATCATTCGGCTCAGAGAACACAACTGCATCAAAAAGATTTCCACTGTGTTCGGTTTTCCTCTGAGCTCTTCGGTTGGTCTGATGATTGCCTGTAATTTCAGATCTCACACCCTTGCCATCTCTTAGTCACAAGAGTACCAATATCTCCATTTTTCCTAATCAGATTGCCTTCGAGCGATGGCCCGATGTGCGCTGAAAATGGACGGCCCTCAACCACCTACACTTTCTTCAACATATTCTCTGATAAGTATGCTCTTGAACGTCCACTGTCCTTTATTTCTCCGGCAGCCTCCCGCCCGTTATTAGTTCTCCTCCTGTAATGTTTGCTTCCAGTTCGACTTCCATTCATATAGCCCATTAGAATTTCGATGTTTCCATCTGGGATTCATCCATTTTTGTTTGCAGTTGCTTATAGGTATCTTTCTTCTCTTGTTACGAGCTGTCTGTAGGCTGGGATGATCGGTACTCATTGCATAAGAGCTTCGGCTGTTGCTGGTGACTTCATGATTGCCACTCAGTGTGCTGGTGGTTGTCGTCTGGGTGAGCGGAGTAGATTACTGACTCTCCGGTTG